GATTCCCGGCGGGTGGAAACATTTCGACACGTTTCCTTACACCTGTTGTCCTGTTCACCTAGCAGCAAATAGGTACCTGGGTGTTAGTCGACTGGTGTGGGTCGCATCCTGGGGGACAAGATTAAGGACCCCAATGGAAATAAGTTAGACAGTCCTCGATGACGCACTGACTTTCTTGGGTTATCCTGGGTGGCTAATCCCCCGGGGTTAAAAATCCGAACGAAATCTTATCTTATCTTATCTTAAACACACTTCATGGGCACATGCAGGAGACCACCAAGGTGTGCATGCCTGAGAATGCCTACCTGAGGTTTCAGGGATAGGATGCATCACTGCAGTTAGGACTAAGGTCAAAAACTGGTGTGCCACTTCATCAGTAGAGGATGAAAGGGGGGTCCTCACAACAGGTGGTAAGATTGGAGTACAAGTCCCAATCTGCTCGAGCAAATTGCCAACGAGGGCTACGAAACGGTTAGCATACATGGTAGAAATCAGAAAGATGGCAAAGCAATCACTATCATGTAAATCTGGAAGAACAGACCACCCGAAATCAAGTGCAATGGGCGAGAAAAAGATAGAAAGATCAAAGGAGGAGAGAGACTGAGTGCGAGAATCATAATGGGTAGAGCACCTGTGATTAAAACATGAAGAGGATGGGAAACGAGAAGAGTCTCTAACTGATCACTACGAGAGTTGCAATGGGACCCTCCCCACAGGTGATGGTGAGCGTTAAAATCATCCAATAACAATATGGGCGGTGGTAGAGATGAAATTAAAAACGTGATTTCAGAGATACAGAATGCATGGGAGGGAAAAAGATAAAGAGAGCAAACTGTAAACCATCGGTGTAAATACGAGCTGCAGTATAATGCAAATTGGAACGAACAAAAACTTGTTGATAAGGTATATTAATGCATAATAAGAAGGGTGCTTTCATTAAATGATCCATCAGGTAAAGGATAGGAAGAATGTAACAGCAAGTAGCCTGAAATGGAGTGAATGACAGAAGAACGAATTTTGGGTTCTTGCAACCCAACACATGCTGGAGACAACTGAGAGAGCAACAATTGGAGTTCTCCTCGGTTGCCTCCAAGGCCACGAATATTCCATTGCAAAAAAAGACATTATGTAGAGAAAAAAATGACAATAAGAAACGATAAAACCTGTGGGCTTTTAGGATCAGTAAAGTTAATGTGTGGGGGCAATGGTAAGAGTGTAAGTGTAAGCAAGGAAGAATTAGAATATTGAGGAGGAATAGATTGTTGCATGGGTCGTTAAATAGAAAGGGTAGAAGGAGGCGTGTTGGTGTCCATTGGGGGTGTCGTCTCTGCTATATAGTTTGAGATAGCATCTAATGTCTCAGTTGATAAGGAAACCGACGATGCCATAATGTCAGAGACAGGAGAGGCATTGCAGGTAAAGTTTGGAGCAAGTGTGGAGGTCTGACGGGGGCGAGGAATATGAGCCTGGAGAGATGTGTTGGCTGGGGGAGAAGAGTCCTGCAATGTAACAGGAGAGGAAGGAGGATGGAGAGTAACTATGGAAGAAGATGCAAGGGGGGTGAACAAGAGGAAAGGGAACTACACTAGGAGATGTGAACCTCCACCTTTGTGTGAAAGCTGGAAAGGGGGTGAGAACTAGTCTCTGGGGTAGAAAATAGATTCCATACAGGTGATGGAAGCGAAAATAGTGTAGGTCTGCAAGGTCTAGTAGATTGAGAAGTAAGCAAGCGAGATGAAGTAGAAGTAGAAAGTGGTGCAGAGGTAGGAATTTCAGAGGATAAAACTACATAAGCACTAGAAGCTGGGGTGACCCCAGAAGACACAAACGCAGAGGGATTGGAAGGTGGGAGGACCGTCGAGGTTGGAGGTCTGTGGGCTGCTCGAGCATACGGGACGCAAGAAAGCTTTCCTTGATGGTAGAGCTGAGAGACTGCCATAGTGTAAGGTAACTGATCTCTCGTTTCTTATGATAGACCTGGCAATGATGGGAAAAGGAAGTACGAGGTTCCTTGCAATTGAAACAAGAGGGAGGAAGACTACAAGATGTATTGGAATGAACTACCCCACCTCGGATTGGGCATTCTGCCTCAGATCTGCAGTGTTTACCAGGGTGCCAAAAATGCCAGCAATTACGGCATTGTTGGGGAGTGGGAACGACTTAACGGACCTCTAAACGATGGCCCGCAGTACAGACAGAGGATGCATGTACACGGCAGTCGAAGGTTAAACAAGTGATGTTACTAGGAAAGCGCCTCCTCCCACAATTGGGCAGGCTGTATGTATCTACCTTAAAAATTGCGAGATTTTGAAGGACTAACTGTTCTAAAATATCGTCGCAAGACAAAAAATCACTTTGTACAATGGTACGTGGTAAGCCACAGTACTACTGCAAGAATTATGATAACATACCAGTTGCCTACGAGCGGTGACTTGTATGTTATCAATGGAAGTGATGCAGGAGAGAGCATGAGCTTGCTCTCAATTTTGTACTGTTACGAAATGTACATGGTTTGAAGAGTGTGGAAAGATGTATTTTGGCCAACGTGCCTTAAAAGTGTTTCACCAATTCCATGAACAGACATAATCCATTTGAGATGTTTGTAAAGAAAAGAATTTTGTCCATTGTGCACTCGTTAACCCAGTACACAAAGGTAGCGAGTGTTGTGTAGGTCGATTTTGAGTGATCAATGAACTGTCATCAGTAGGTTGTCTTGGACGTTTAGTAGTAGTACTGTGGGCAGTCTGACCCAAGGGAGGCGGGCGATCTGAAAACCATTGCACCGTATTAGGGGAAGCCGGACTGTTACACCCTTTTGTCGATTTTGAGTAGACAGTTTCTACTTGTTATTATTGCAGTGGTATACTTTTACATGTTATTTTTGCTATTGCACTTAATGTTATATTCAGGAGTAATTCCATTAGTAGCTAAAATGGATTTACTCGACTTTATAATATTATCTTGTCTTATTACTTAGCTTTGTACATACGTTATTTAATTAGTCCAAACTGCTGGTGCGACCTGGCCAAGCACCAGTAGGTGATTTGAGCTGCTCAACCCCTTTTCTGACCGAATCAAAGTGGGCTGGTAAAGCCTCACTTTGGTCAGTTCATACCTTTCTCTCGACCAGGAAGGGTCCAGGGAAGTGTCTACCTCTAGACCAACATTTGCCTCCCTAGAAAATACCAGGAATTTTCAGAAACTCATTGCTAAGACTTATCTCGGTTGGAGAAGGCGGTTGAGAAAGTGAAGCCAAGTGAGCAAGCCTCTGGTGTAAGAGGGTTTATTGCAGAGTGAACTCTATGTAAGAGCTCTATCAATGTGGTGTTCGAGTTTTTAAGCAGCGCCTGTGCATGTACATATATTGATATTTCCTGACTCACTCAGAGCCATTTGTAAATACTTAACCTAGTACTGTGATGTTTTAATGAGGAGTGGGATAAGTGGATTTATTTGGTTATTATGGTTATTAATAAATTAAATAGAAACCAAGGAAATTTCTTTTCCTCCACGAATGAAGACCCTTAGACGTGCTAAGTTTGTTACGAAAAGCACTATAACCCAGGGACCAACTATGTTCGTAACACGGATGCACTGTGAAAGGCATGCTAGAAGTAGCGGCATGGACAGAAATGGGTGATGCTGCAGCACCTGGAGCAGGTGACGAAGCGTCACTGGCAGAAGGTACAGGGGAATGAGAAGAGTCGAGAGAAAGGACCAATAACGAAGCCGGGTCAGAACAGGGTGTGGGATCACAAAGGGGTCTGGGAGAAGGAACGGTTTCATTGGGTGAAGACTCCATAATAAACATGCTTCTTCCATGATATCTCCTTGTTATTTTTAGAAAAAAAGAAAGAAGGAAAGAAAAAGAGGGACAGCAGAGGGACAGCTACTAGGAGGCATGGAAGTTCACCCCCTCATCTGAGAGGGCCTGGGGCCCACGGGTATTGAATATTCAGCATGGAACCCATGCAATGCCCTACCCTTCACACCAGTAAACCAGCAGGATAGCAGCCTCACATCTACTGAGCCACCTCAGCGGACAAAAGTGCTCTGAAACCTGCCACAAAGCATACCTTCTTCGGCTACCACCTCCCAGAACCGACAGGCAGCTTCTGGAGATACACCCATTATGTGAAAAGCACCCCATTCACTTCTCGTAAATCCAGGAAGGGAGCAGGGCACCTTCAGACAATTCAGATTCCACGGCAAACCACAACATCCCTGAGGGACCCCCCAGAGTGGGATGAACCCCCACACACTTCCCCCTACCTAGGAACCTTAATGCCTGAGGGGAGAACCCAGAGACTACAAATGGGACAGGAAACAAGGGGAGGGTGTGGAGAGGGGAGGAAAGGGGGAAAAAGGGAGAGGGGCATGTGGAGGGTGGGTTAGGGAAGGGAGGATTGAGGGGGTAATTAGGTTCACTCTGAGAAAGGAGACCAAAAGATCTAATTCCTCAGACGAAGAGCCTTTTCACCATGCCAAGGAGAACCCCCCCCCCTTGAAGAGGTCACTGTTCGTAGCTACAGGCAGATAATTACATTAATATATCACTGGTTGTTGCAAAACTGCACCTATAGGGAATATTGATTTTTATTTAAAAAAAAAGACAGATCAATAATTTTTAACAGACTATAATAATTGATGATCTAATCAATATTTTTAAATTTGTTCTTTAATTAGAACTTACATATTTTTGTATTCATTCCAGTTTATTTCTGTCAATTTAACCAACTACAAAAAAGTCATGATAGTTTATTCTTGGTTATATTAAATTAGATTCCGTTAAAAAAGATAAAATACCGACAAGTTGATGAATAATAACGACCTATAAAGAAATAAACTAACGACCTACGGTAAAGTTGGAGGCTGGACAAATATTAAACATTTTACTGAGATGTATTTTTTTTTTGGTTACATAATTGTGTTCATGAATATAATAGAGGATTTTAATACTTCTCCATTTAATGCTTTTCAGTTAAGTCTATATATTTCAGAAACTCTGAGACTCTACCCTCCCGCCACCTTCGGGGAACGCCAGTGTACCAGAACCTTCAAGTAGGTCTTACATTCACAATTTACATATAGTAGATCTATGTAGATCTAAGTAGATCTATGTAGATCTAAGTAGATCTATGTCTATGAATAATAATGAAGATAGTATTTTAAGGGTTTAAATTAAATCTAAATATAAATTGGCTGTTGTGGTTCCAATATGATGTTAGAGGAGGAGTGTATAATGCCCAGGATGGTCTTCTGATGTTTCAAGAAATGGTGTAGGTTATCCTGGGTGGTAGTATTCTTCCGATGTTCTGAAATCTCCCATTACTACTTGGTTGTAGCACCTCAAGTATGATGTTATAGGTGAGTAGTAGTCGTAATGTCCTACTAAGTCCAGTAAACAGGTATCTTGCTTCAATATTTAGGCATCTACCCTAGATGACCAAAAAGTTGAATAAGTATAACACTGAAGAAAGAAAGGCGGTATTTAATGCCAGTCATTACTGGCAACCAGGACAATAAACAACGAACAGTAATACTCCTGGTAGATCACCTTACCTGATCAGGAGAAGAGTGGAGGTGAAGTGACTCTCCAATCTTCAACCCACACCAGGTAAGCTTAATACTACCAGGAGTAGAAATTAAAGCACATCAAACACCAGAAAATGGAGTTTCGCCGCAGTCCGCTAGATGGACGTGTGGGCAGTAATACGCTAATGGTTCCTGTCTGTGAAGGCTAACTCAGCCCAGTCAGATCCTAATTAAGTATTTAACAAGACTGGCTCCTCCTTATGTAAATAAATGATGGAAAACGTAATAACATGAGAAGATAAACCCTTGTTATATAAGAATTCAAGTATTAATATAAAACAATTAAACATGAAAATTAATCCTATTTGAAGAAAAATGAAATATATGAACATGTGATTCAAAGCTAATTTATATACAGATGTTGTGTGTAGAATGGTGTTGTGCTGATGTTCTTGGCACAGAGTTTTGATGGATTCATGGAACCCAAAGCAGTTGTTGATAATGGAGGGGGGGGGGCACAGCTGGTCATGACTCACAAGCGACGGTTTCCACAGTACAATTCTGATGCATCATTCATCGCTCAACCCTTGGGACGAGCGGACGTGTGCTGAGCCTGGCCCCTACTGACAGCTGGTGGAAGCTTAGTTTTCACAAAATGGAGAAGCAGGATCGTCGTCAGGTAAACACAGTTGGCATAGAAGTGGTACATGGGACTGTGCCTGCCCAATCTGCTCAGCTTTTACTGCCTGCCATAATCCATGACACCTATGGTATAGCGACTGAAGAGCTGTATGGTGTGGCATTGAATGGGGCATACAGAATTTTCGTCAAGTTTCACACCACCAGCGTTTATGAGGAGTATCAGTACCAAGATATTTGTATGCCTGTAAATCCTGCTGTGATTGTGAGACTACACACGTGTCCCGTCATTATACATGGATAAAGATAAGAAATGTGCCTTTTGAGGCTGATGAGGCGGACCTGCGTGCTGTGTTCAAAAGATATGGGACAGTATACATGGCTACGATGGGGAAGTGGAAGGAAGGAGAGTATGCTGGTATGCCTGAGGGAAGTTTCACTTTGAAGATGACACTGAGGTATCCTGTTCCCTCTTACGTTCAATTAGACGACTTCAGGATGCAAGTGATGGTCACCTACGAGAGGCAATGTCAAACTTGTTGCAGTGCAGTGTGGTTGTCAGCAGGGTACTCAGGAGGCTGAACGTCACAAGGTGGCCCTGGAAGTCCAGGAGAAGATGGCAGAGTCAAGGATGGAAAAGACTTTGTCAAGACCGGCTTGGAGTGTGGAGGTGGATGAGTCGGAATTGATGGAGGATGCATGTGTGATGCTTTTGGGAGAACTGCACTCTTCAGGGCAGGTACCAGAGGAGGTGGGTGGAGTGATGCCTGGTGAAGATCGGGACGTGGAAGCCACAATCGATATGGTGCTACATGACCTGTTAGGCACCCCAGGTGGGGTGTCCATGGAGGGACTTGAGTGTGCCTTTGAGTCTGCTGTGGACCGGGGAGACGTGGAGGGAGGACTGTCAGAGGCATGAGTAGATGCTGCTATGAGGAACTATACTGTGGAGGCAGACGTCCGCACTGATGGCCTCCAGGAGGATGTAATGGAGAAGGATCGTGGGTCATGGAAGAGAGAGGCTGTTCTCTCAGATATGGATGATGTGCTATGCCAGCACAGTGTTCTGGTAAAGAGGTGTGGGCAGATGAAGCGAAGTGGGGTTCTGGGGGAACCACGGGCAAGAGACCTGTGAAAGGATTGAGAGTCAGATGGTGTCCAAGGTGGTAAAAGGAGGAAAGTGGAAAGGGGTGTGCCAGTGCCTAAAGGAAAACATCCTATGTCGGCTTCAGGAGTCTCATTATAAATATTAATAGTTGGAGAGAAGAGAAGAAGCGTAAATGGTTTAGTGAGTTTTTAGTAAGGTATGGTGTAAATGTTGTGCTTGTGCTAGAACACAATCACAAACCAGGTTGTATGTTGATGATTGAGGGGTATACTGTTTTCGTGGCACATACTATGAGACTGAAAGAGGGTGTGAATATTTTGTTGCGGGAGACTAGCCCTTTTGTTGTGCATCGTTGTGAGGAGGGTGGGGAGGGGAGGGTTATATTGGTAAATGGGTGTCGGGGAGGGAGAGGGTGCCTTTGTGTGTGTTTATGGCCTGGTGGTGGGGGACAGTAGGGTTAAGAATGAGTTTGTATGGGATGTTTAGTATATCACCTACGGTCGCTTCCTGCAGTTGCTGTTGTGGGAGGAGATTGGAATTGTGTGATACTTCGTAGGGATGTGGAACCATGGGGAGCTGGGTATTGTTCTGTTGTTTTGGGGCATCTGTTAACAGGGATGAGGTTGGTAGATGTGGGGGGGGGTGCTGTGTGGGAGGTGGAACACCTTTGTGCCACAGGGGTATGCTGCAAGGCTAGACTAGTTATATATGACTAGGAAGGCAGAGGTTTAGAGAGTGAGTGTGTTGGATGTGGAATTTTCAGATCATAGGGAATTTTTGGTTGAATTGGGGTGGGAAGGACTGCCTACCAGGTATGGGAGTTACTGGAAATCGAGTGTCCAGTTGCTTAATATGGAGGGGAGGGCCTTATTTGCATGATTGTGGGAACATAGGGGTGACTGTGCAGGGGTGACTGTGGAGGGGGATGTGCTGAGTTGGTGGGATACAATTTCTAAGAGGAAGATCCAGGAATTCTATGTTCAACAGGTGAAGTGTGAGAATCAGTTTGCTTATGGGCTTGTCAGGTATCTTGAGGGGCAGTTAGGGGAATGTTATGGGAGAGGGCGAGGGGGTGTGGGATACCATGTTGCAGAAATAGAGGGGTTGAAAGACAGTATCAGGGTATTGCAAAATAAAAGGTTCGATGTGGCGTGGGTGTTGGGGGGTTAGAGGAGGTGATTTGGGGTGACAGGCTGTCGTCATGTGTCCTGCGAGGGCAGAGGTGTCAGCGCATTGCTACAGAAGTGGTAGGGTTGCATGTGAATGAGGAAATGGAGGGGTATAGGGAGGGGCAAGAGTTGGTCACTACAGAGAGTTTGGGTGGGTATGTGGATGCATGGTTCAAGTCATATATGAGGAGTGTTGGTGTGAGAGAGGAGGCTTTACAGAATATTGGGGAGTGGGTGCAGTATGTGCTTGACAGGGGGGACAGGGCAGAGTTAACATGGAGGAGGAGGTATGGATATCATTAATGGGCACAAGTAGGGGTAAAGCGCTGGGGATAGACGGGCTGCTGAGTGACTTCTGCATACAGCATTGGGGTGTTTTAAAGGGGTTTTTAGTGAGATTGTTTAATGTGATGAAGGAGAGGGGTGTGTTGGGAGAGTTGCAGGTGACAGCGATTGTGATCTTGGTCCCAAAGGGGGATCGTTAGTCTGCAGTGGAGAATTATCAGGTAATATCGTTCATTTGTGCAGATTACAAATTATTCGCAAAAATATTCGGTAATCGATTGAAAAGAGTCATTGGTACAATTATAATTGGGGTCAATATGGGGTACCGGGAAGGTCAATGCATGAGGGGCATGTAGTCAATAGGGGGGTTATAGAGACTATGCGAGAGGGGAGGGCAGGGTGTTAGCACTGGATTCGAGGGCAACGTATGATAGTGTCAAAAGGGAAGCATTGTGGAGAATTATGAGGTGGCAGGGGTTTGGGGAGGAGATTATGCATTGGGTGCGTACTTTGTATCAAGAAGTGGGTATGTGTGTACAGATAAATGGGGGAGGATCGTATGTTCGGATAGGCAGGGTATTGCGACAGGGTTGTCCTCTTTCAGAGATGCTATTTGCGTACTTACCGGACCCATTTTATATGGCGGTGGAACAGTGTGTGAGGGAGAGGGGTGGAGGATGATAGGTGTGGTGGGAGACCTGGCATCATTGTTATGTCGATGATACGACGGTCCTAGCATGGGGAAGTGAGAGATTGGGGAGTGTGGAGAGAGTCATGGATGTTTTTGGGGTGGCAACAGTTATGACAGTGAACATGGATAAGTCAAAGCTCATGGGGTTAGGGGACTGGGATGGAAGGGTAGGTGAGGGTGCCAGTGAGAGGTGGTGTGTTGTGAACTGGGTAAAGATTTGTGGAGTTGTGTATATCAGGGATGCGCATACGGCGAGGGAGGTTAATTTGAGGAGTGTTGTAGATCGAATGCTGGGGAGATTAGATGGTTTACAGCCGGCTTATCTCATGCTACACCAAAGGGTCACAGTGGTCAATGTGCTTCTCTATAGCAAAATATGGCACATGGCAGCGATGTTCCCTTTGGCGCATAGGGATGTTCAGCGAATGTTGAGTAGGGTCTTCCATTTTATTTGGGATTCGGGATGTGATTGGTTATGAAGGGGGGTAGTAATGATCCTGGTAGACCAGGGTGGGCTGGGGTTAATTCCTTTGGAGTATAGATTGAAGAGTGTTTATTTGAAGCATGGGTTCCTGGGGGCATGTGGGGTGGGGGGTTGGGCATTGTGCAGGAGGATATCCGGAGGTGGTGGAGG